ACCGTGCCTCCAAGTAGTCTCGTTCAGGTTCAGGAGTGTAAAAGATCTCTACAGGATGTGTTCGTCCAGGGATTGTCATGAGTGGACATTCATCAAAATATTCCTGAAATTTCCCAGCATCCAAGGTGGCACTCATGATTATGATCTTCAGGTCATGTCTCTGTCGCACAACCTGTGGAAAACCGACGCATTTTATACAACTCCTGTAAGTTACAGGTGTAACAGCGGACCAATGCACTGTCACCTGCACGTGTACAATCAGCATCATTATTACAAGGCACAACGGTCTGATTATTTAAACAAATTTTAGCCATTGTTGAACAAAACTGCTTTCTACATTATCTTCAATTTAGCACCAAACCATTTATCTGAACAAAGGGGGTAAGTTTCTAAAGAAACTATGTTGCCGCATTGGTGTGGGTAATAAGGTAATTTGGTAATATCAACTAAGTTGAAATGTAAATTGGCCACCGCAAAGAGTTATAAAGCTGCCATTTCAAGTGTTAGCCCTTCGTCAGAGTGAATGACGAAGAGCTAACCCTTGAAACATCAGTTTTCTAACTCTTTACAGTGGCCAATTTACATTTCAACTTAGTTTATATTACCAAAATTAATTATCTATTTGTCTGAACATGTATTTTTGTGAACAGTGTCAAGAGGGTCAAAAGCTTACAGTGGAAATAACACTTATATGTATTTAGTTAACTTGATCCATTTGAAGGGAAACCTAAGGCCCACTTGATTGACTAAAACCAAGTTTTTGGTTGGACCTTGTACAAATAACCGACCCCTTGTGCTTAAACAGTTCTCTTATGTGTAAAGTAACACCACTGTCTATACCACACTGCAAATCACTGAAAGCTCCCCTTCCCTAATTCAAAGTTGCCTACTTGTAGCAAAAATACCACTCACAATAGTAAGATCAGGGCTTGACACCAACTTTTCAACTTACTAGCCAAGTTGCTAGTGACATCTTTGATTTTACGACAACTTCAGCTTGCTTACCAGTTAAACCGGCAGGTTGAAATAAAAAACCACTAGCCAAAACTGAATTTCTACTAGTCTGTAGCTGGTGGGCTACCATTACTGTCGAGCCCTGAGTAATTTACAGCCTGATGATGAAAAATGATTTGGGGGAAAGTGATTACCACGTAACTTACAGTGAGGACAAAAGAGATTGACAATGAAGTAACGGGCGGGTTCAATAGGTCAATGTGTCAACAGTTTTGTTGCCTATAGTTCATGTAAGAATATGAAATCTCCAGATGCATGCACACACTGTACCTCTTTCAGTAGACCCATGAGAATATCAGTGGCAAGAGTTCTCTCATGAGCCTCATCAAGAAGAATGACTGCATAATGATCCAGTAGAGGATCAGTCATAGCCTCACGCAACAACATACCATCTGTCATGTACCTGGAAACAAATTAAAATGAGCTTTAAATTACAGTCAGGAATGATTATCTCATTTGTTCAGACATCTGAGACAGAGCTAAAGGCCAAACTTAAACCTTAAATTGCATTTTCTCACACCCT